CAACTGATCCCTCTTGTGTCAGAGCAAAGAACTGCTCATAGAAGTCTCCTTCCCGATCGGTTTGGAAACGTTCTATTATGCAGTCTTTAAATTCCCTCCAGTTCCTGATCAGTCTCCTCTGGTCTCTCCACTGAAACCACGACAGGGCTTTTTCTTCCAAACATAATCCGACTGCAGTTAGCTTCTCCTCTTCCGTCAACCCATTGACGGCGAAGTATTGCTCCACCTTGTAAATCCACCCATACGCATCTTCTCCTTCGAATATGGGCATCTTTAACTTCCTCACGTTTTGATCCCCTCCATTGCCTCGGATTCTTCCATAGTTTCCTTTTTCCTAAGTGCTAGGTGCACCCCAAGTTTCCCGATCTTCTCTTGCCCTGCCATAGCCCAAACCCCCTTCAAAATCCCCTCTTCTCCGTTCAAAATCAGCAACCCGACGGCCCTAAAACCCCTCATGGCGTTCCCAATCAGCCCTTCCTTGCTCCACTCCCCCATATCCATACCTTTCCCCATGTCGATCTCCCTTTCCCTCTCTATGGAAAGGCTCCACATAGGGTCTTCTTCTTCCCCCTTCCAGGATTTCCACCTCTTCTTCCTCCTTTCGGATTTCGGAATTGGTGTTCTTCGCTTCGAGGCCCTTCGCTTCGGATGCTGCCGTTTGTGCTTGAAGTTCCAACTTTCTTTTCATCATATCCTTGAGATCGGCCACTTGCCCCTCCATGGAAGAAATTCTTTCCTCCACGGTTTCTTTGATGTGATTCATCTCTCCTTCGAGTCTCTCCTCCAAAGCATCAACTTTCTTGGCCGCCATTACGATCCGGAGTTTGTAGATTCACAAAATCTGGATATTGGAGTAAAAAAAACAGCAACTTTCTCCTTTTCCGGGTAAAAAACTGCTGCTGGAATTTGCCGAAAACAGCCTCCACCGGCCCCAAGACTCGCTCTGATACTAATTTGATAGGAAATACTTGAGTTCGCAAGTAACCCTAAGGGAATACTTGAGTTCACAAGCAAACCTATCACTAATTGGATGAAATCAGCGAGAAAATAATCAAAATCTGGGCGAAAACAATCCCAAAACAGTAGATTGCACTAATGAAGTAAAACAAAACACACACAAAAAGAAAGATACAAGTGATCCTCTATTCGAGAAGAGGATCGTTCTCTCCCAATCTCTAGACCAAGGTCTAGAGCCCTCAAACCTCACAAGACTCCAAGAGAAACTCCAATCTAAGCATGCTTAGCTCTAACCCCTTCATGCCCTTTAAATAGCCCTCTCCACCTCCTTAAAAACTTCCTAATATAAGATAGTATTTAATTAATTCAAAAGATATTAAATCTTTTTAAATTAATTAAATTCACTTTTCTAATATAAGATATTATTTAATTAATTCAAAAGATATCAAATCTTTTTAATTAATTAAATTCTCTTTCCACATATAAGATATTATTTAATTAATTCAAAAGATATCAAATCTTTTTAATTAATTAAATCCAAACAAATTGGGCGTGGGCCCCTCCCTTAGGCGGTGTAGGAAGGAGGCGGTTTGACCCGCCTCCTGTATGCAAGTGCCATCCTATCAATTTTTTGTAAATATGTTATCATGAGGTACAACATGTAAAGGAAGGTGGGCCGTTGTCTGTTGTTGAACGTTCATCTGTTCGTGATGAACATCTGATTCTTTATCGTCCTTTGGATTTAGTTGAGAAAGCATTTATTTGGATCTGTAAGAAACGAATGAAGTTATTGGCCGGAGGTAAGAGGAGGTAGTTTTTAAATCTCGTGGATTGACATATTTGCATTAAGAGTTTGAGTTCTACTTTGCTTGTTGTTCTACGCAAACTCAACTCCAAGCGTATATACACAAATTGTTAAATGAGTACTATTGTAGGCATCTTCTTTAATATGCATTGTGAGTTGCCGTCTAGATTAGTAGGTGAAAGTAAATGTTGATTTGTTTTGCTTTGTATGTCATAATTGATCAGCGTGTTCTACCTAATGTTCTTAAAGAGTTTATATAAACTTATACATATATTATTTAATGTGATTTAAGTCAAATAGCATATTCTGATAGCAAGAAGAGTAGCATTAGAAAAATAAGCAGTAGGTAATACATATGAAATTAATATTTCAAATTTATCTTAGGAAATTAATAATGAACTTAGTTTAGTTAAACGAGCTTTCATCTGATAGGTAGAACATCATAACAATAGAATAATAAACATTAACAACAACAACATCAAGCCTTTATCCTACTACGTGGGGTCGGCTACATGAATTATTTTTCTCCATTATGTCTTGTTAAGAATCAAATTCTCAGTTGAATCTAATAAAGAAAAGTCATTTCTAAAATTTTCTAACCTAGTCTTTTTAGGTCTACCTCTACATTTCTTAACATAGGCCAAATCTAATATATCTACTCTTCTAACAGGGTCATCGAAAGGCTGACATTTTACACGACCAGACCATTTAAGGTAACCCTCTCTAATCTTATCTGTCACTGGAACTACGCCAACCTTTTCCTGGATATGCTCGTTTCTTATCTTGTCTCTAAGAGTAATTCCGCTCATCCACCTAAGTATCCTCATCTTAGCAACACTTAACATAATATTATGCTTCTCTTTTATGGCCAACATTCTGCACCATAAAACATTGCAGGTCTCACCACCATCTTATAAAATTTTCCCCTAAGATTGAGTGGTACTTTTCTATCACACAGTAAACCCGCATTTCTCCACTTCAACCATCCAACTTGAATTCTGCTAATAATATCACCATTTGTTTCACCATCACTCTGAACAATAACCCACAATATTAAAAACGAGTATACTTATTAATAACTTGAATGCTCAAAGTCACAAACGCCCCACTAGATCTATTACTACTAAAATTACACTCCATGTATTCGGTTTTAGACTATTCAAACAAAAAACTTTTAGGTTGACCTCCATAATTCGAGTTTACCTTCAGCTCCCCCTCTAGTCTTATCAACAAAAAGAATATCATCAGCAAAAAGCATACATCATGGTACATCCTCTTGCAAATATCTAGTGAGAACATCCATGACATAGAACATTTTGAAGCAATACAATAAAAATATCAAAAACTTACATAACAAGTCATGAAAACATAACCAAAACTAATGCCTCCTCCAACAGGGTATGTCATCACTGTCAAGTGTAAAATGTTGTGCTGGCTATAGTGGTATAGTAATACAAGTCATGTTGCTGCTTGACACTTGCATTAGTCTGTGTAATGTAAAGTGCGTTCAAGGTAACTTAAAATTTTCTAAATAACAAACCTAATAATATGAAATTCACATGATATTCACCTTTAATGGAAGACAACTCTCTTATATTGCAGAACTTTTAGGACCAATACAGTAAATAGAAAGTTTTAATTTGATTTTACAAAGTAACTCATATATTGTCTATTCTCACCCATGTGACATTGCAAAAGTTAATTGGACATTACAATCATATGGACCGCCTATGCTTATAAGTTCTTGTTAGCATTGATATCAAATTAATGCATTCATAATACTATTTGACACTGCTATAATAATCCAAAACAATTTCAATTCAGCATGGTTTTTCATTAATGACTCATTATAAAAATAGAAGGAATCAATGTCATTCGATTACCCAATGGTTAATTAAGTAATTATGTTTTTAGCGATAGTTATATCAAAATTTAGGCTTCCTAATTCACTTTACAATATTTACTCTTTTGGCTATCTATAAAATAACAAAAATTTATCTATAAAATAATTTGTAGCTAATTCAGCAATCTAAACTTAGGATTATCTTATTATATATTATGATTTTTCAAATATTTAACATACTTAATAAATTTTCAGATATCAATTTTCTCATTATTGGAATAATAATTTTGAATAATTTGTATAAAAAGAGCAGAATTATGGTAGAATTGGGTCATCATTTTTGAAATCTTGTCTAAACCGAATTACATAAGAGTTCAACTATATACAAAAATATTAAATGAGTTTGATTCTCAACAATTATTCCATATTGTTGGATTTGGGTCATTACTTTGAATGCATGTCTAAAATCATTCCATGATGGTTGAATTGGACCATCAATTTCTCTCGCTAGATCCGAATATAGAATCTTCGTTATGTTTTTTACCTTAAATATGTGATTAAATGTTACTTTTTTTTATTAAATGTGACTAACATTTATCTAACTCATATAATTATAAAAAAATAATCATGCTTATCTAAAATATGCATAATTTAATGAAATGCCCAATCATTAAAATATGCTTAATAAAAAATTATTTTAAAGTCATTAATTTCAATTATGAATAATTATAACATAAAATTTAATTAAGTTTTAATATAATACATTGATTTTAAATATAATTTTATTACATTAAAAGATAACTTAATAAGGATATTGAAAGTTCAAAGCCACTTTGTTATGCTTAGTATTCGACTAAATATTAATATTAAAAAATTAACAACATTAAAATAAATTTATCATATATTTATTAATACTCCTAAACAACTACATTCTATTAATTTTTGGAATTAAATAAAAAAAAAAATTTAAGGGCACAACAAAATCCAGTCAAGTTGACGACTGATAATCCATCTCGCCACCTCTCCAAAGCTGAGTCATTAACTAGTAGTCCGTTAAACAGGCGATTTATGCTTGTTGAACTAATGGTAAATGTCCTAAAAAAAATAGACGAAAATTGGTGCAGATATCTGTTTCAGTTTTACTGAATAAAGTTGTGGGGTTTTAGCTCATGATTGCTATCGTCACAGAAAGTAATTTTTATGTTTTATTGTATGTGAAAATAATTTAGGCTTCATTTGGGACAGCTTTTTTACTGCTGCTTAAAGCATCTTTTCAGTACAAAAATTAATTTTTTGTTCTAAAAAGCTGCTTTACGAAGCAGTTAGAAATCCGCCCCAAGCGAAGTCTTAATCACATTGATTTCATTATCTTCATCATGCTGTTGTATGCCACAGATATAAAGGAAGCAGCTTCCGAACTGCAGGAGAAACTTCTGGAAGCAATGGTGAAGATGAAGGATGGTGCAGGTGGAGGGCTAATAAACATAAATACGCTCAAAGAGGGAATCTGGAAACAGGACGAATGTATGACTCTGCCTTGAACTGGTCTAGTTTTAGCATGAGCCTTTATAATGTGACGCCATGATTTACTCTGTTTTATCTCTGCAGACCTTTCAACGAAGCTCGAAGAGATCCAGGATGTTGTAAAAATTCTGAGAAGAACGTGATCTTGGAGGTTTGCTGTAGATTTGTCTTTCGCCATTTTGAAATTGGTCTCTCTCTCTCTCTCTCTCTCTCTCTCTCTCTCTCTCTCTCTCTCTCTCTTTCTATTTTGAATGAGCCATTGATCTGTGATGCCTGAGATGCCCCCTTTATATCTAGTCTTTTACTATGCCTTGTTGTTATGACTGTGCTATGGTCTTAGGCTTTGTTTGGGACGGTTTTTTTTTTTACTGTTTATAATGATGTTTTTTAGTACAAAAATTTCTGTATTGAAAAATAGCTTTAGAAAACAGTAAGAAAGTCGTTCCAAACAAAGCCTTATAGAGTGGCACTAGAAGCTGTAGATAAAACTACTTGAAATGTTGTTGAATATATATATTTTTAGGAGATTTACATACATACCATGTAACTTTTATATATTTATATATATAATATTTATAATTAATTATTTATTTTATATAATATTTTAGTGTCTTAATCATATAAAAATATATATATTTATTTTATTTTAGAAAAGTGATTATTAATGATATTTTTGATGTGGTTTAATAATTTGATTGTTTTATAAATAAATATGAAAATATAAAATTTAAATATGTTAATGCATAATAATTATGTGATTTTCATGTAAATATTTTTTTATTGCTCTTGGGTAAGTTTTGTGGGTGGCAAATTTCATGTAAATATGTAGGCAGAGTTTCGCGTACGTGAGATCATGCGGCAGAGTTTTGCGGGCAGGAAATTTATGCGGGCAGGAGATTGTGAGGGAAGTTTCGCGGGCAGGATGGCACGCACGACTGCCAAGACTCGTAATGTCCACATAGGCAAAATTCATAATGTCCACATAGATAGCCATGCAAAAGCTAGCTCTTGAACTCCTAGATGACAACATTGATCTTAACTCTCATGAGAGTATTTTGCAAGGGGAGTTAAATAGATACCCATTGGGTATTTGTTTAACATTTTTTTTCTCTATTCAACATTCATAACACTAACTAACAATCCTTGGTGCATCCTTCTTAATGGAGGCTAATAAAACCATTAGAGTAGTAGAAAAAAAACAAATGAAAAACTCATCTCATGTTTTATCAATACTAAGAAGGTTAATGCTTAGGGAAACTTAGAATAGTGATTTTACTAGTTTTATTTTGAATGTTATGGCTTATATTTCAACATAAAAGTAATCCCAAATATATTTACTACACTTAACATATGGATTAATCAACTTTTTTGAGTATTTAAATAATTTAAGGCTTGATAATTAGAAAGGGGAATGAATTTCTTTAAAAGCAAATAATATCACCAATATCTTATTACTTTAATAAGAGCATAAAATTCCCTATCATAAATAGAGTATTTTATTTAGTTTTGTTCCACTTCTCAAAAAAGTACTTGGCTAGGGAACCTTTCTATGCCAACACTAGATGCATCATTGGATGCTTCAAAACCTTTCCCCAAATGAGAGATTCTAAGAATATTAGTATGTTTATAAATATTTTTATTTATTCAATGATGTCATACTAAACTTATATTTTTCCAAACAAATTGTTAAATGGACAATAATGCACTATAAAAAAATGTTAATTTTCGGCTGAAATAAATCCATTAGAAATTACGACATAATATTTATGGCGGAATTTCCGACAGTTTTTCCGGCGGATATAAGACGGAATTTTAAATTTTCTGGAAAATAATTATTATTAATATTTAAAATTATTTGTTTTATTAAATTAAAATATTTAAATTAAATATTGTCAAACTAAAATAATAAAAAGTTTTAATAATAATTATTATGCTAATTTAACTAATTAAAATAAATTAATTAGGTAACCTAATAGATATTGTTAAATAGATTAAATAATATGAACATATTATGCATTACAAATAATTATTAAGAGAATATAATTTAAATAAAAAATGCAGCCCAGGTGACATAATATTCATCATAGCACATTGGATTGAGGTGGTTTAAAGTTGGAGGGGTTTACTCCGCAGCACAGGCGGGAGGTTATGCAGGTGAGCCTGGTTCACGGGCCCGTGGAGTTTGAGAGAGGGCGTAGTTCATGGGCCTGCGGTGATAGCGGGCAGGCTCAAGGGCCCGTTCGGGCTAAATAATATATTATTTATTTATTTTTTGTAAGCAATTTCCTCCGAAAAATTTGCTAGAAATATTTCTGATGTAAATTTTTTGACGGTGTTTGTTTTCCGATGTGTGACTCATTGTCAGAAAATTTTATGTCGGAAATCCGCCGAAAATATAAATTACAGACGAATTTCATTCATTTTTCGATGAAAATAGCCGCTGGAAAATGATGTTTTTTTAATAGTAAATGGTACTAAGTTTCAATGAACCTTCTATAAAATACACATAGCCTATAAAAGCTCCGAACATTCGAGATAGAAGGGTTGGCTAATCAATGATTATTTTGATTTTGGAGGAATTTGAATTAGTACTTTTAGAAGAAATCATAATATCAAGAAATGAACCTTTTGAATATAAACATGCACTTTTTGAGATTAATATTCCCATAACTTAGATAATTGGACCAAAAAAAAAAAATAGATGATTGGACACATGTGATCAAAATGCTAATTCTTAATTGAGCGGGAAATAATTTTGTCATCAAAGTATACTGTAAAAAAACTTGCTATGAATGGCCTAAGCACATGGTTCATCAATCTATTAAATGTTATTTTCATATAACCCATTAGGTGTATTAAATGTTATTTTCCCTTTCATTATAAAGAACTCTAGATCTAAATATGCCTTAAAAAACATATAGCCACCCCCATTTATCATGCCAAGCATATTATTCAATTTAGGTACATTTAATTTAAATTTTTTTAGTGATTTTATTTATTGCTTGATTATCAACAAATATATGCTAAGAATCATCTTTCTTTAGCACTAATGGTGTAGAGATAACACATGGAATTATATAAAAAGTTTTCTTTATTAGTTAATCTGTTTGATGTTTGAGATGAACATATGTTCATCCTATAATATGCTAAAATTGGTAACTATGATCCAAGTATAAATGATTAAAAATAATATCATAAAATTCTAATAGAAGATACGAAAATTACAATACTCAGTAACATATAGAGATTTAGGTTCCCCTAAGCCATAGGAAAAAAGAGAAGGATATGACTCTAATGTCAAATTAACTGTAAGAAAACTATTTTTAAGGTAACATTCATTAAACTCCCACTATTAATGATTAATTTGCATATCTTATCATTATAAGCCACATATATTAAAAATATATTAGTGCATTTTCAATCTTTAAAGTGGTTGGGGGTGTGAAATTGCATCTAACAATGTAATCTTATATCATTATAATTAAAAAAATTGTGCATCCTCATTTATTAAGGGATCATTGGCAATAACATCCTTTAGCTCCTTTCTTCCATCTCATTGGAACTTGAATTCCCTTAAATCATTAAAAGATTAATCTTGGATATTGTTTGATAGTATGACCTTTCTCATAGTACTTGAAGCAAATGATCATAAGCGTGTTAATTAGTTTATAATATGCATGCTCTCAATATTGTGTAGATTGATATTTGGAATCCATTGACCATTAATTCATAGTAGAGTATTGGTTGCTTAGCTTGAAATCTAGAGTATCTAACCTTAGTGGACATGGTCAATGACCTATTAGAATTAGTTTGTAATGACAATGTGCATGACAAATGCCTATAATATTTTTCTAGCTCAAAATCTTTTTGGTTAGCGTCTACAATATTATTAGACTTACATAAACATACTTTTAATCTTATGTCATGATGAATGCCAATGTTAGGTCTATTAGTCAATAGCAAGTCATTCTAAAGAATTTGACTCCTTGAAATAAGCTTCTTAAATTGATTAAAATTACAAAAAAATCAATTGTGAACTTTGCTTATGAATCAAGAGTCTCAACAAACTTGCTCCTATACTAGAGTGACAAATACTTCTATCTAAAAATATCTTTTATGTTTGATGGGAGAGTTCCTTGCAAATTAATATCATGAATAATGAAATTTTAGTATAATTTATCTAATTTTGATAACTTTATCTGAAAATTTTTATGCATTACATGCCATCCATCTAATGATAAGCATAGAAGTCATTCATCTTAGATTTCCAAGCTTTGTTCGCGTCAATGTCATAAAGAACCTCAAATTTTGGAGCATCGATAATAATATTTCAAGTGAGATCATAGTGATCATTAGTGGGATGATCATGACTGAAAGAGGCAATCCTAGTGGGGGTGGATCTATATTGGTTTTATCTTTAGTAGGGATTGTTTTGATGAACAAAGTTTTTACGAGCATGATGCTGATAAGTTAGAGCAAGCCTCTTAGCTATGTAAGATAAGTTGATTATTTATGTTGGCCCAAATCCAAAGACAAATTATTAGGGATTTTAGAATATGTTTTAATATCATGTGGAAGATTTTTTATTATAATGTTTGGTTTACTAGTAGATATCTTATTGTGACCTATTTGAGAAAATAAGTTTTCCATCATTTTATGTCAAAGTGTTCATAATAATCTCTAGTATATAGTGCTCTGTCGATGTTTAGTCTCTAAAACTATGATTGTCTTATGATTATCAATCAGAGTATTGTGACACACTCTTTAAATTGATTAATTTGAACAAGATACTCATTAAAATATTTTAAATTTCTATTGGAGTGATTTATATGATTGCAAATAATAGTGATGTAGTTTGTATGCACAACATAACATTATATGTAAATAATATGTTAGAAAATTTACTTGAAGCAATTATTAACAAGTATCATAACAAAATAATCAATTTTCTTCAATTGTACAAAGTCAAATAGAGTGTCTTCATGTATATATAGAATAACTTCTTTGAATCTTATATAGTATTAAGAAGATTAAGATTTTGTGGAGCACTTAATTTGCCCACATAATTCTTACTAGGTATAAAAAAGTTGTTGGATGATGGTTAGGCTATTTTTTTTAATGAAGAACAATTAATTAGCTGTAATGTTAAATTATATGATTTGTCATGATGTGCAATTTTCATAACATTTATAAAGAGTGTATCTTATCATAGTAGGGTTGAACACCATAAAGTTATCTCCTTATAAGTAGAAGATCTTTAATACTTGTTGATAGATTTGTTAGTTAAACGTTAATGACTGATGATATGGTTGAGCATAGTCACAATCTAGTAGGTGCGCATCATAGAGGGGGCAAAAAATATTTATGATGTTGCGGGAGCGTCAATGTTGTGAAGTTTGATGAAGAGGAAAGTTATGTATTTAGAAGTAATAATATGCATGCATGGGACACAAGAGTGTGAGGGATCTAAGTGGGGATCGATGTTGGGCAAGAATCACACTTGTACATGCATTACATAATTTTGTGTGAATGCAAAT